CAGATAGTGAAATACAGTGACATGAGGTGTAGCTAATGTTAAATATTGGAAAAGCTGCAATTTAAAGTTTCTGGAAGCCATTTTTAATAGAAGGTTTACAGGAATTGATTTGTACAGTTATTACAATTTTTAACCCAAAGGCTTTTGAACAATTCGTCAAAATTTACCCATGGGAGTCCAAGAGAAAATTGGATTAAAATTAGCGTAATTATTTTCAGACGCCGAGAAGATCGTTGATGTGTTAACTGAAAAAGAGTGGTTACAGTTTTAGCTGGTCGTTAAAGAATTAATAAAAACAATTGATATAAGAAAAGAATTTTTGTAAACTACTGTAAAGCGCAAGTCATACTTGTTGTGCAGTAATCGTTCGACTTCGGATTAGATGAGGAAATAAGTTGATCATTATCATGAAAAAACAGATCAGCCCGTTAAATACCACCACAGAAGTTGGCGCAACAACTGCATAGATAAGGTAGTCCGGTCGTACCCAACAACTTAATACAATTACTTGGTTACTGTAGTTTTCAAGATGGGTTTGGTGAAACAGAGTTTTTATAGTCAATCTATGCCACAAATGGGAAGGAATAAGCTGTTACTCTTAAAACCCAAATATCGAATTGTTCTGTTTTTGTTAACAAATTTGTCATTTTGCAGTTGAAGAAATGACTTACAAATCGTCTTCTCGGTTAAAAAAGTTCGGAACAGCAATAGTCAGAATAGCGGTAAAAAGAAGTGGAATTCCTGAATCAGTTTTTTTCAATTTAAGTTTTAGGTGTTTTTAAGAAATTAATTAACGTTTATTTCCTTTAACAAAACATTAGCAGGGTCAGAAATGCAGCAGTTGGAACTAAAGGGAAGTAAACCCTTTAGAAGCAAAACTTTTTTTTTTTTGGTTTATAAAATAATGGCTATTTGTAGGTGCAAATCTAGTTAAATTATCAATTGCATATGCCTTATGACTATTTATCTGTCGAAACTTTTACTTTCTGTAATTTTTTCTTGGAAATTATTTTCTGCAGAAAATAATACAAGGCAGCAGTTTCGTAGAGTTGTACAGTTCGAAGCAACTTTTACATTTCATAAATTCAGTAAATAAAGCAAAGACTATGTTTATCGACTAGCGATAACCTTTAATTAGTCTACAAAAAGGTAAGTGTCATTCTGTAAAAATTACTGAATACGTAGATGACTCTACAAATTTCTGCGTGTTATATTCTAAGTTATATTCTACATACGTTATGAAAAATAAAACATACCTATCCCACAGATGATGCTAATCGGCAGCATAGACAACCATTGCAAGAAATTTCTTAGTTTTTCAAACTGGACAAAAGTGGACAATACTTTCAACGATTGGAACAGTGTTGTTATGATGCAGCTGCAAATAAACTTAATTTTTAAGTAGCTTACTTGGCTCAATTCGCTTTTATCCAATTATTTTAGTAACTGTTTAACAGAATTTTTTTTGTGCTCAAGTAATTTGCTTGATTATTGACGGTGAAATAGTAAACTCTGGAATAACTTACTTAAATTTGAATAAAAATCACTGGCTAAAATCGGCTTATACTGAGGCTTGTACAATTTTGCTGAGTATGCAGTAAATTTGGTCCTTAAATGCACGGTTCAAAAAAACTGAAGGGCTTTTGAATACTTGTATTTGATTCTAAGTCTTGCATACATCTCACTCAAGGAAAAAAGAGCTGATTTGCACCTTTATCAGTTCCAGTTAAGAGAGACGTGGAAAACTTTAATTTGCAGATACATTAGTTTTTAGCTAGTTATGACTGATAATTTTTCTTTTTCGTTGTCCTTAGAAGAATTTGGGAATTGTTTTAGCATTGTGTTCTACGTTAATCTTTTTTTTTTTTTGTTTTTTTAGTTTTGAACTGATAAGGTAGGATGGAATATTTTGATTGCAAAGGAACATTTTATAATCTGTAGCAAACATTTAAATAAATCTTAACGACATGGATGAACAGTTAGAAAATGATTTCAAAAAAATGCGGTACATCTTAAAAATAATTGCATATTTGTTTTAAGATACTGAAAATCTTTTTATTATTAGCTGTAAACCAGTTCAAAAATATTCAGTTTTCAAAAAGTTTTGAACCTCAACAAGTTTTGCAGCCTAATGAATCATTGTTTACTTTGCAACTTTCGCTCTTTCGTCACTAATTTTCTCAGTATTTGTCTGGCGATAATTGTTTTAAGCAATCTAACTTGCCGAATCGTTACATCACTGCTTTTTCTTTGATGTAACATTAAGCCAATAACTTCAAGAGAGTGTAGTCCCAGTAGTCATATAACGCAGGTTGAATTTATAAACTGTATAGTACAAAGAATCACTTTTTTCAATGTTTAAAGTATTCTTAGAAGATAAAAAGTGAATTTCTTTTTTTTTTTTTTCATTTTCTTTTCATTTTTTCAAGCCATTTTCTTTCAGAAGGTACTACAGGATGAAGAACAAATGTAACTGAGAAGCAGTTTTTTGACTGCTTCAGAAAAGTGCTGTCAGAAATACTGATGGTAACCCGACATGTTAATAAGTAAAACCTTTGTTTACTCTATACTAAACTAATGTGATAGGCTAATTTGGATTGACTTAACTGAGTTGTTTTTAGATCCACTGCAGGAGTTTAAATTTTTTACAAAAAATTTTTGGATGCCAAGAATTGCCTGTAATATTGACCATAAAAAGAGGGTGTATAGAGTTCCAGCAATGTAAACACATCCATTTCCAACGGTATTTCTGTCTGCTGTATAGGAGAAAATGCTATAAAATAGAAACAGTGAAATAATGTAAATAAATCCTGTTGGAGTGACGGCACGATGAGATTGTGCTGTAAAATCTGATAACGCTCGAAACAGTCTTTGGGAAGAACAACTGAAAGCATTACAGCAAATGAATAACCGAGTTGATGAGAAAGTTTTTAGCATTATTAAAGATTAGAATTTTTTTGACTGTTGAAAAATATGAAAAGATAAAACAAATTGTAATTTATAATAGCTTTTTAAAGTTTTAATTATAATAGAACTGATTAAGAATGTGATAACTAAACATTGCTGAACCTTTCTTTTTCTTCTGCTTTTTTTTTTCTTCTTTCTTTTTAAGCGCAGATTTGATATTTTGATTTTTGTTTAGTACAAATACTGATGCACAGTTGTACAAATTTTAATGCTGCTTATTAAAAATGATGAAGTTACATTCATTTTGACAACTTTATGTTTAAATTATAAAAAAGATGAATTATTTTATAAACATCTTAACAACAGTTTTTGTTGTTATTGGCAAAAAAAAAAAAAACAAGTAGACAAGGTTGCAACAAGCGGTAGTCCAAGTTTTTATAATAAAGAATTATGACGTGAAAGTGACGTCGCTGAGCCATACGGCTTTTTAAAGTGGGCGTCTGCAGCTACATTTGTTGTGGCAATACGTTCAGTGATTAACTTTGGTTTTTCGGTAGATGGTTAAAGGAAATGTTAGTGTGATACGTGAAATTAGCAATATTGAAAGTCAAAAGCAAAAAAAAAAAAAGAAAAAAACAATTTTTTTTTTCTGGTTGAAAATAAAATGCAGAACAGATTATATGTTTCATACTTTTTTTTTTCTTCAAAACACTTTACGACAACAGTTTTCTTACTGTAATGAATCTAACAAATACAGATTACAGAATTTTTATGCAATATTTTTTTGCAGTTAACAACAAGAAAGTTTTTCTTCTTTTTTTTCTTTTGAAAAAATTTGCTGTATTAAAAAAAAAAAATAAATCAATAACATACGAAAAGATAGAGTTTAAAATTGGAACAAAAATTTTCAGTTCAAAACAATTTAAGCTTTTCTGATCATTACAGACTTCTGAGCTTTTTCAAGTAGTTTCAGAAGATAACAATAAAATGTTAAGGCAATAAAAAGGTATAGTAAGATTAGGCATAAAATAAATTTCTTAGCACTGTCTAGATAAGAAAAAAGTGAATCTGATAAGTCAGTTTACAAAATCAACAAATTACAGATGTATATACATAACATTACCAATATCAACGATATTACTCTGATAAATATTTTTTAGTCTAAATTTAGTATCAATGTTACAACTGATAACTGTGTCGATTTTGGTTAAAAGCATTTTTCAGCAATAAACTTTTCAAATGTTTTTTAATTTTATTATCAATGATTATATTTCTGAGAAGATTATTTGAAAGCAGCTCAATAACGCTAAAGTGGAATTGACTGCTGCAAGTCTATGTTATTCTTGTTTTCTAGAAGTTATTGCTAAAGTTCTTCGTTAAACAGCTTACCAAGATAAATATCCGTTTTAAAAAGAAACGAAAAAGAAGTAGTAAAAATTAAATTTGCATATAGTAATGCAATAAAAAAGTCTTAAAAATATAAACTTTTTAATATTTCTGAGACATATGAAAATGTTAGAAAACATTGATAATATAAAAGTATTTTTTTCAAATATTATTTACATTGCTTCTCTGTTATTAGTATTATTTTTTTTATTACTTTCTTTTTTAAAGTTTCTTGACAACTTACCATGAAGTTAAATAAAAAAAAATAAGAATAGCTAAGGAAGCGACGGATATGCTACAGATAATAAGTCCCAGTTTGCTTAACACCGGATCGCATAAAGCTGGATCTGTTTTCATTCCTTCCTAAACAGCATTAAACATTACAGGCATATAATCTTTGACTTTAATATATTATTTAACATAGGTTAAATAAACTCTACCATAGTGACATTATGTAGTATTTAGATATAAAGCATAGCAGAATGTCTTCAGTTGGTTGCAGAAGCACAGAAAGATTTGATTCTAATTTGGTCTGAATATTGCGTTGAAACAAACAACGATTGACAGTTTTTGCTGTTAACATCTTATACTGGGAAAAAAAAAAAACATTGTTTTGCAAAAAAAAAAGTTGTTTTTAAGTTTTAAACTTTAAATCATCTGCGCTAATCATTTTTAAAGAATTTTCTTTAATGTTTTTTTAAATTTTTTGTTGTTATTTTGTTTTTGTTTCTGTTAAGCCAGTTGATCGTTATTTCATCTTTTAAAAAAAAACTGTATTGTCGAGCAGACTTTCTGCTCAGAAAGTGAGTTGAAATGTGCTTTTAACGCTACTTTATAAACAGTTATTTCTAGTATTTTGATGATAATACATCAAGCTTTTCTTATTTATGTTCTTCAAGCACTATCTGCAGCAGATTATCAGAAATTTGAGAAAAATAAAGCAAAAATTTGGAAGCGGAAAGGTGGGGAAGAAAGAAGATCAACGAGATGTAAGGAGCCGATTTCACATTGCTTCCTGTGTAAGATTTTTTTTTAAAGTTAATGTTTACGAAAATCAGCAATAACTATTAAGTTAAAGCACTTAAAAAGTAGTAAAAAATTGATAAGACTGTGCAAATAGAGAGAAGTTATTGTATTCAGGCTTAAAAAGCGGTTGTAGATCTTTCAGTGTCAAACCCAAGGTTGGCTGTGTAAATATGTCCTGTAACGAAAAATTCTTAAAAAATCATACTATCACTAGAGTGAAATCAGTAAGGTGATGGCAATACGATGTGAAATAATTCTTGTCATCATGAACTGAACAAAGGTTAGTAGACCAGCCATAGCCCTCAATAAAATGTGAGACACCAAGTCCTCCATGAAGTGGCATTTGATGCTAAATTGAATAAAATAAGCTTGAAAAATTTAGTCTTTTAAGACTTTATTGTTCTTCTAAGGCAAAGTTAATAAGGCATTGTTGCTTTCAATATTTTTTGATGCATTTTGTTAGAACATAATTAGAAGATTAAAATTTAATGAAAAAGTTACATGTCGTTTGCTAAAACGTAGAATAGCCATGGTAGAATTGTCAGGGAGTTGTGATATTGCTTTTGCTTCCCTGAACAGAATAGCTGAAAGAACTCTATTGGTATTGGCAAACTGGCCTCTTGAACAGCGATTTTCTACATTATTTGATTTCGCGCTTTTTGGTTCGGTTTCTGGTATCTTGACTGTATGAAACTTCTTGTTTCGGAAGATGGCAAATTTTACACTTTCAGCTAAAATCTCTTCAACATATACAAAGTGCTTGAGTTTTCAGAAATATGCACAAAGTGTAGTACAATGACTTTGTGTGCTTTTTTTTCACAAAGAGATAGGGCGAGTGTAAGGAAACATATGAGGATACACTTTAACGGGTTAGAAAAAAAATGTCTAGAAAAGACTTTTCTTTATTAAGAGTGATTGATTGCATAAATACCTTTAGATTTACATACTGTATGATGGGGAATTATAATGGCAGCTTTAGCGGACGACGCCTCCACTGATAATTTGGTCAACGTTCTGAAGCTCATGGTCTCATCGCTCAAGCCAAATATTATTTGACTTTGGTCGTCAGTACAGTTAACTTCACTACTCACCATCCCTAGATTGTTTCCGTTAAGGTACTGTGCTTTCTGGGGGCCATTACTAAACAACTGTTTTATGCCGGTCAGGAATCTGGAAAGTGGTGACTGCATTAGGAAACATTTTAAACTGACTAGAAACTCACAGCTAACAAGTAAAAAACTATAGGTAAATGTGAATCTTAGTAGAATTTTTAATATTTTCTGCAAGAAATACGAAAGAAACCTGTCTGAAGTATTTTGCTCTCCTCCATTAATTTCTAAAAATTTGTCTAAGTCTACGCCAAGAATCTTATCCAGTAGCCCTGAAACCAATTGAAACTCCTGAGAACTGGAAGATAAGCAACTGTTTAAAGTAACTATACCTGAATTCCCAAATTTTTTAGACTTGTTGCCTTGTCAATAATCACCGATAAGTAGTAAAGATCTTTTGACGTTGCTCCTGATATGTTTAATAGTCGATCAGCAGCATGAATAACATCCACTACGTTATCTTTAGTTATATTTTGCTAAAAATTAATTTTATCTGCTAGTTTTTAACTGCATTTGCAATGATTAATTCAAAAATCTCACAAAAAGTCAGTTCTCATTTCTAATATAATTTGAGAGCTTTACTTAGGGTAGCATTGTTTTTTGATTTTTTGATTAAGGCATTGGAGTGATTTTTATTATTGAAATGCAACAGAATTTTGGAAATGTCACTGTGCAGAAAGTGCGTACTTTAGAAAGATCGTATATCGAACTGCTGTTGTCGTAATTTTCCGGCGTGACATCTGGAAAGTTGAAGCAAGTAGATATCCAAATTAAGAACTGATTTTTACATATTTACCAGTAAATTTCAAACTCTTTTTTTATATTTTAAAAGATTGGACTACCCCTTTATAATAGCGTTATTTTTGCAAAAGTGTCATAAGACAATGTTGCCTCAGTGTTTTATTTTAACGTTCTAGCTTTCAAAAATAA